TATTTCTTCTTCCTCCTGGCTGTTTCCAAGATAGTGCCTTTTCTCTTCACTGGACCTCTCCTCAGTGCCATAGTGCCTTGCCTGCCCTTTACTCTCTCTGCTGTATAGATCTGGGACCTCCTCTTCATCACTCTCTTGCAGGTGGTGTCTCCCTTCACTATGATGCCTCTTCTCATTCCTGTTGCCATGAGTCTGGTGCTTATCCAGGTCTTCTTCACTGTCTTCACCGTGACGTGTCCTTCCTTCATGATGGTGTCTTACTGCCTCATGTGATCCACCATGGTGCCTCTTGTCCTCATGCCGTTTTTCTTTGCTTTCCTCACTGTGGTGATGCCTCTTGTCTACCTCTTCACTGCTTTCTTCACCCTGCCACCTCTCTCTGTACTCTTCACTCCCACGGCCAGTGTGCCTCTTTTCTTCCACTTCTTCAGAACTGTGTCTCCCATGAGAACCCCTCTTCTCCTCATGATGATGCTCAGGCTCTTCATACCGGTGCTTCTGATAATGGCTCCTTTTATCCCATAAAGGGGTCTCTTCACTGGATTCCATTTTTTCACCACTGTTATCTCTCTTCTCTTCAGAGAAATCACCCTCTCTGTACTTCCTGTGATAATGTTTTGGTCTGTAGCGTCGCTTTTCCTCCCCAGCTTTTTCCGTCTCCTCAGATTCTTCATGCCCTCTATGCTGATAGAAGCTACGTTCTTTAGATTCATGATGGTACTGTTCACTGCTTTCCTCCTCTTCCTCCTCCTCTTCTTTCTCCTCACTTTCCTGGCTGTTCACCCTTTCCTCTGAATGCCTATGGCCCATGAAGCGTTTATCATCTCTGTCAAGAAATTCCCCTACACGTTTGGCTGCAGCATGGGATTTTTTGTCTAGAAGCTCATGCTTTGAGTCTTCATCATGATGCTTGTTTTCTTTGCTTTCTTCTTCACTGTGATAGTGTTTTTTATAGCCATTCTCCTTCTCTTCTTCCTCACTTCTTATTTCTTCCTGATGATTGTTTTCCTCCTTATAGGTTCCACCTTCAGGAGAAGGATGACCCTGGGCCAAAGCATGGGATTTCTCCTCCTCTTCCCTACTCCTGTCTTCCTCATGATGGCGTTTCTCCTCTTCAAGTCCTTCCATGTCTCTTTTAGACTGTTCTTCATTCTGACTTTGCTCTTCTTCCACACTCACATGTTGATGTTTTTCATCCTCTGCTGTTTCTTTCAAATGCCTTACTTCAAGTGGGTCATCTGTATTTTCATTTTTTTTCTCTTCTCTGTCATGCCTAGCACCTACAATATTAAACATATTTTAAAATAGTAACCCAACTCTCCATTACCACATTATTCAGTATAAATAGTAATGTGACAAATAGGGCTTGCCAATTTTTTAGTTTAAAAAATAATCTGTTGCTCCTAAAGTTGATCATTTTAATGCTATGAATTTTTTTCATCAAAATCAAAACGTTTTTGAAAATTTGCCTTGAAATTGTTTCAAAATGTCTCATCTCAGAACAGTTTCTAGCATACTTTTTACTTGCTGTGGTACTAAATATTTGTCATTCCTCTTAAAATCTATGGAAGCTCTGGGTTCTTCACACCTTTGAAAGCCAGTCCTTAACTGTTCAACTCCATGCAAGTTAAGATGATTTCAAGTGCCCTAATAAATAGAACTAACATTGTTATAATCTATTCAATTTTTTTCAAAAAAGCAGGGGTGCACCGACACCAATGGCCAATTTTCAATGAGCCATATTAGCCAATATCAATATGCAGCTGGGTAGCATGGAGAGCAGCATCTGGTTGGTAAGTCTGTTGTGGGGGAAGGAGTGACGGGGGAGGGAAGGGGGCAGATCGAGGTGGGGCTGGGGCTGGGGCAGGGGCAGGTGCTGCACAACCTGGGCAGGGTGCAGGATGGAGCTGCGAGTGCCTTGTTCAGGGAGTGCAGGGGTGGGGAGCTCCCACCTCTGTACACACCCCAAGAGGCCACGTGTCCCTGGATCTGTGCACTG